TTGAGTCACCGACCTTGCAGTTCAAATGACTTTGCAGTCTGACACATTAGCTCACAGCGCCACACCAGGACTCCCGGACATCCTATACAGGGTCTCCATGGGTCAGAACCAACTCGATGGCACTTAACAACAACAACATACTTCTATTTAAGTCTATTTGTGGAGTTTTTGTTTTTCTGGGGTTTTTTGTTGTTGATTTTTCCTTCTTCCACATTTAGTGCCTCATTGGTTCTAGTGCCATTTATTTGGCGAATAAGTGAAATTTAAGGCTCTGACCTATATGTATATTTGGACTTTGGTCTGTATTTAGAAACTTGAAGTGACTTGAGCTGCATAACATTTTGTATATTTCCAATCCATGTCAACATGCTTTGAATCCTGTTAATTTTGCTTGAAGTGAAATTTGTGAATTGAATTTTAGAACAAAAACATATCATCTCTTATTAGTGTCCTCAAGACACTGAATCAGAGTCATAATTCAGTGAAGGGTACTGTGGGATTTGTATCAATTTATCAAATTTTACTTCTAGAGATATTTGTGATTTATAGTAATCCTGGCTCAGCATTGTAAAATGGGTTAGAAAATAGTTTTAAATTTCTAAACTTATTCATTCAGTGAATCATCTTACTAAGCACCTGCTAGTAAGCATTTTCTAGATACTTTAGATTCATTCATGAGTAAACAGACTCAGATCCTTACCCTTTCAGAGTGTACTTCATGATTGGAGCCAGACGATGGCAATAAACACGAACAAGGAACTTACGGAGTTTCTTGAATAGGGATCAGTACTTGGCTGACAGTAAAACAAGTTAAGGAAACTGGGAATGGTGAAGACAAAGGTTACAAATTTTAGAATAAGACAAATCAAGAAATTTCAGAATAGGCTTCATTGTGAAGGTGACATGTCAGTAAAGCAGCAGGCAAGGGAATGAGCCGTGGACTTATCGGGGCTAAGAACTTTCCAGATTGTACACACAGTGTCTTAACTCTGACCGTCTGCTCGGTGCATTATGCAGACCTCTTTAAAAAACGAATGTTGCATGTTAGCTACAAATTCCATACATTGTTATTTGTAAGAAAACATAATTAGGACTTTGGATACCTGCTATGAAAAAGGTCATTTCAAATAATCTTATTTAAGAAAAGCACATTAAGTGGAAAAGTTACTTGTCTTAAGGGATTTTCTTAAATTAATAAACTCATATTCTCACTACCTGCTTATTTGATAAACTTCTCATTTAAAAACTTAACACTTTGTTGAGTGGTGATTTTTCTTATCTTCCCCCTTTTGTTTTTATTTTTGTTGACAGTTAAATCGAAGTGACAGTGACAGTTCAACTCTGGCTAAAAAATCACTCTTTGTGAGAAACTCCACCGAACGGCGCAGTTTGAGAGTTAAACGGGTATGTATTCCCTCAGTGACATCCTACTCTTCTAGACTAATCCAGAATCATGTTTCATGAGGCATAGATACCAGGACTGCTGAATATGAGTGCTCAACGCTCGGGCTGTTGGATTAAACCACTGTGATTGCACAGAGACACAAACGCCGTATCAGTTTTGTAGAAATAGAGGATATCCTTAAAATCCATTTGTTACCACTTCTTTGAAACCTGTGATGATTAAGGCTGGGAATTTAATTTGTTTATTTATCAAGTTACTTACAGAGTCCTGGTGTGGTGGCGTAGGATAAGCATTGGGACTGCAAGTCTGATTAAATCACAAGGTCAGCAGTTCAAACTCACTAGCCACTCCTCAGAAACCTTACACAGGGTCACTATGAGTTGGAACCAACTTGACAGTACTTAACAACTTATTGATAGCAGAAATACTAATAGAAGTTAATTTATTTTCTGTAACTGATTCCGGTATAATGAGTTGTTCAGTGAGTACCGAGTGCTGTGTGTACAGAGCTCTGCAGGTGATGAAATATCTGCCCTCAGGAGTTGACAGTGTAGAGGAGAAACTGGAGCTCCTTGGACACTCAGTGTGATGGATAAAAGTTAGGAGAGTCTGGGAAAGCTTCGTATGGCAGGCCTGTGATCTTGCTACCTAAATGAAGGGTCAAAAGGAAATGGTTGCTTCTTCTGGAGAGCGAGAGAGGCTGCTAGGTACTGGCAGGTGGTGTCATGGGCAGGAAAGCCCCTTTGAGCCCAGGCACAGTTTAGGGAAAGATTGGGACTCGGGTTGAATGGCACTGTGTGCCAAGTACTAGGTGCATAAGTAGGCACCATTTGATTCCCTTGTTCAATTTCCTAGTTACTTGATAGTAATAAAAACATGCTTCTTTTTCTAAAGATAAACACTGGCATTCATCTGACATCTCATGAAACTTTAAGTTAATCTTTTCAGATGACCAAACCTTATCTTTTAAAAGCACCTCAAGTCCCATCATTTTAGATAAAAATTCTTCTCAGTTTCATCACATAAGTCCCCTACCTTGTCAAATAGTACACACTTTAAAAGCGTGGACTTTTTAGGGAAATCGTAGCATAGAAGTGTTTATTGTGATATGAGCAGAATTGGAGTATTGGTAAGTTTTGTCATTAAAACTGCTTGAGTCACACACAGGTTAATCCTGAAACAATACATAGAAGTTTTTGTTTGTTTGTTTGTTTGTTTTATTAATGGCTTTTTTGAAGGAATGATTTGGTAGATGTGGCTTGATAGAAAGGAGTGTGGAATGATGTTCTGATGAAATAGGAGCCCTGGTGGCGCTGTAGGATCAAAGGTGCAAGAGAGAAACAGTGAGAGGTTTGGCTGACTGGAAAAGGAAAGTGTCAGGGATGTGAGTTAAGAGGGCTCCCTGTTGGCAGTGATGTTGCAGCATGTAAACACCTCCTTGAGAGCAAATTCATTGTGCACATCCCTTCCCAACTCCCCCATGAATGATATTGATGACTTGAAAATGGTGGTAGTGGGCGTATTCACACCATAGAAATTGGAAATGTGTATAAGTCAGTGCTATTCCTCCTGAGAGCGCCAGTTGTTAATCATCTAAGAGCACACCATTACGCATTGAGTCCTTTGATAGTCTTCATGTGCAGGACAAGTGGGAAGGGTTTCTGATTCTGAAAACAAATCAAAGAGAATGTGCACTTAGGTGATTCTTGCACTGTATGGAGTTTGTTTTTTTAAAAAAAAAAAGGGCAAAGGATGAATAAAGGGAACATGGTAAGAAAGTTGCAGAAGGCTTGCACCTGGGTTTTTAGTGAATGAGCCACTAGGAAGACAGTGAAAGCTATTTTGACTTGCCCTAAGACTCTAAAATAAGCAGACAGAAAGACAGGCCCTCTCCTAGCTGCCGTTGATACTGCCACTACTGTTCCAGATTTTCAAATTGGACTTGTTGTCAAATTTGGGGACCACCTCTCTTATAGCAAATAGTACCAGCTCGTATTGATAATCTTTTTTCCATTCCTACTGCCAACATTATAGGCAAAAAAATACCCTCCTTGTTCCCCTCTGTTTATGCAATCTGACCCAACCTAATTTAAATTCCTTTTCTTCAGTGAGTCTGAACCAGCCTTGAGTGATCGCTCCCTTCCCTGACTTCCTCTAGCATTACTTCACCACTTACTATTGATGACTGTCTTATGGTATTCTCTAATTGAAGTCCTCAGGGTCAGAGATTGTGTCTTTTCTTTCTAGTGGTTTGCCTACAAACCCCCAGATGTTTATTTATACATATTCAATAGTTATTTCTGATAAATGGATTAAGATCGGTCCTAGGAAGAACATCAGTGATTCCATGGTAGAAGTAGATTTCAGGTAATGGGGAATCCAGGAACAAACTGAAATGGAAGCTGCAGAAAACATGCCACCAACCTTCTCCCACAGCACTCACTGCTCAGCTGGGGTTGGTCATCAACTGCAGTGGCCACAGAGAACTCAGACACCATACTCAGGGTCCTAGGGTTTATTAGGTGTGGTGCTGTAGGATCAGCACTGGACTGGTTCAAACCCATCAGCCACTCCTTGGAAACCCTATACAGAACATGATGCATCAGGATCCACTGGAGGGCACTTAATAACAACAACAAAAACAGGTTACAACACTGGATCAGAAAATGCATAGGGCAAGTTCTTACACAAGCCTCCCTCAGCCTAGGTAATGTTAACAAAGCTCATTCAGGTTGCTGATAAATGCCCACAGGACACACCACACCGCAACCTGAAGGCACTTGGCTGGAGCTGGGAGTCAACAAACCTAGCCCCTCCCCAATTAACTTGCTGGAGGCACCACCCTCTACAAGTAAGTCTCTTGTCCTTTCTCTAGCTTTACTTGTTCTGTGGCTGGGAAACCCATCACTCTGTCTGGTGCTCTGACTCTTAGCTCTGCTGCAGCGTCTCCTCTTATCACTCCTCGGGTATCACAGCTTTCCATGCTTGGGTGGAGGAGGTTCCATGCACAAAGATCCCTGGGTCCTAAGGACATACTGTACTCCCAGCTCTTCTTTGATAGTACTGAGATTCCCCCTCCTGCTTCTGAGATGACTCATTTTATATCCTTACTGAAGTGTCAAGTTGTTAGAATTACAATTCATTGTTAATGTATACAGCTGAGTCATGTCATTCTGTCAGTATCTTCTCCAGGCCCAGCAGGAAAAGAGTTGTTTGGTGGGAGTTACAAAGACTAAGGCTAAAAGAGAGAGAGTAAATCATTCATTATACCACAGGCACATGAGCCTTGGTGTTGCCTTGTAGTGATAAGCACTGGACTGCTAACCACAAAGTTGGCAGTTCAAACCCACCAACCACTCGCAGAAACCCTATTCAGGGTTGCTGTGAGTCAGAACCATCTCAACAGCACTTAACAATGACAACAATGATCACTGAAGGAAGTCAAAATCTAACCCTATTGACCAGCTACTTTAAGGTTGGCATAAGGACATAAATCTGGGGGTAAAGTTACCATGTATATGAAATGGAGGAAATCTAAGTTTCTAAAAATATATTTGTTTTTCACATGGGGTGGTCTCTGTAGTGAATTGCCCTGGCTAAGCTAGGCTCTGCTGTGGTAACAACCAACTCCAGAATCTCAGTGGCTTAAAACAACAAAAATGTAGTTCTTGCATAGCTCCTTGTTTGTTGCAGATTGGCTGAGTGTGTTCCTCCATGTTATTCTCAGTCAACATCAGGCAGAGGGAGCTTCCATCTGTTAGACTTTCTGACCCTAGGGCAGAGATCAGAGAGCAATTTAGCCAATCTCACACAGGACTTGAAAGGCTTCTGCCTGGAGGTGACACATGTCACTTTCAGTCAACCTTCATTAGCCAAAGGAAGTCAGTCTCTAGACAAACCATGCCTCACTTCAATGAAGGCAGGGGAGCACAACCCTGCAATGTTCCAGGAAAGAGGAAAAACAGAATATTGGCGATCAAGGCTAATGACTGCCAAAATAATCAGAGTATTTTGATGTTCTGGAATTTTTGTTTTGTTTTCTAATTTTCCAGACTGTTTGCCAGCCAGTCCTGAGAAGAACAGCACAAGAATGTCCAGTGCGTACATCTCTAGACTTAGAACTGGATCTTCAGGCATCTCTGACCCGACAGAGTCGCCTCAATGATGAACTGCAGGCTCTGAGGGGCCTGCGTCAGAAGCTGGAGGAACTGAAAGCTCAAGGAGAGACTGACCTTCCACGGGGTGTGCTGGAGGATGAGAGATTCCAGAAGCTCCTGAAACAAGCTGAGAAGCAGGTACAGATTTTGATACCTCTGTTTTCTCTGAGGACCCTACATAGAGTTAATAGTTTTTAAAGCATGCCATGTAAAAGCTACTCAATGTATGCCTCAGTTATGCTCAAACAAAAGTCTTCTTATCCTTCTGCTGGAACTTGAAACACATTTCCTCATTTTTATTATTGTTGTTGTTAAATGCCACCTAGTTGGTTCAGACTCATAGCGACCCTGTATAGGATTTCTGAATCTGTAAATCTTCACTGGAACACAATGTCTCATGCTTCTCCCACCTCATTGGTATAGTCCTTTTTTAAACTCAGAATATTGGTAAAAGAGAGGCATTGCCACCCAGAAAGATGCCGTTAGAAGCCCCCTACCTCCACTCTACCTGAAGCCTGCAACTGTGGCGGTCACTGGCTTCCTGGAAGTAAGGGAGCGTGGCAACAAAGGGAAGTACTTGCCTTGGTTTCTCCTCAGCTCCTTTCATTTTCCCAACATTAGACTTGGGAAGTAAATACTGTAGGGTTTATAACATAGATGATGAATTTCATTTTGGAATTTTTCTGAGTAGCTCTTTAAGATGCATTAAATGGTGCTGCAGTATAAGCAATGGGCTGCTATCCAGTAAGTCAGTGATTCAGACCCACCAAGTAACTCCTCATAAACCCGATACAGGGTTGCTGTGAGTCGGAACTGACTCAACAACACTAAACACTAGTAACAACAGGCACATCGATTATAACTAGATTACTAGTCTTCATTCTTCAAAATGCTCACATTTCTTCTTATTTTCAAGAAAGGTTACACTTCAGATATTGGTGTTCTCCCTTACTTTTCCCCATACAAACAGCTATGACAAAAGATTGAAATCTGTTGCCTTTTAATACAGTTTTGGGGTTTTTTTAAAGAAAGCATTTCTGTTGTCCTGCCACCTATTATTGAAAATTTTAATACTGTGCATACTTATGAAACGTATTTTTATCAAGATAAGAATTTATACTTTGGTTTGGGAATATGTGTTCAACTCCATAAATAACATAGAAATACTATTTTCCATATACCTGGAATATTATAAATGTCAAAGCATCCTATTTTTTCAATCCTTTTTGATGGAAATCTGAGATAAACTAGACACTTTGTAAAATTAATAGACAATCTTATCCATAACATAAACTTTAAGGGGTCCAAGTTGCCTTTTGGTCATGTAGTAAACGGCACTCCAGAAAAAGTTTGAGTCGCTTAGTTGACTAACGCCACTCATCCTAGATGGAACTCAGAAATTTAGTGACTTCATTTAAAGAATCAAAAAAAATACCAATAATTTTTCAGACAATTTAAGCAACAAAATATATTGCATGTCTTTATTACGTCCCACCTCTTAGAATTTTTGCACATAATAGGAACTCAAGAAATGTTTGTTCAGTTGGTGAGTTGGACTGGAGTACCTTATGTTTGACCCTATAGTGAGTACAGTTTATTAGACACTGACTTGTCCTCAAAGAACTGAATGAGTTAAAAGAGATAAGCCAAACACACCAAACTAAGTCCACCAGAGAAATTACTTCCTACTGAGATCAAGAGAGGCTTCATGGATGAAATGGCACTTAGACTGGTATTTGAAAAAGTGGATAGTGTAACTTCCCAACTGGATGGAGGCCCGGCAGGCATGGAAAGGTAGAGTAACCCTGCATGAGTAAAGGTAGAGGGAAGCCCCAGGCAGTGAGGAACCAATGGACGAGCGCCTCCAGGACAGTGGTATACAAGCCTCGGCTATTTTTCTACACAATGGAAATAGCTTGCTCTTAGGTTTGAAAACTCAATTATAAGGTATCATTTTCACTGTCTTGGGTCTTGTAACTCAACATTAGTCAATAGCTTCAAACTCTTGGTTGACTTTGATCCACTTTAATATCATGGAAAAACATTAAGTTTCTTTAATGGAATATTAGCACTAGACATATAAACAGAACTTTGCATCTTTGAGTCTGTCCTGATCCCGACATACAATCATTATAAAAACTTTGGTATTTACTTTTTTTTTTACTGATATCATATTGATAAGACTGACACATAAGTTACTTATTGTTGTTGTTTATTTGTTTTGACTGCTACCTAGTTACCTAATCTTCATTATGCAGAAGAGAATTCAATAAAGCAAAAAACTTGTTCTTTGAAAAATAGAAAACATAAATCTCTAGCAAGATCAGTGAAAAGAAAATACAAATACACGGCACTATAAAAGTAAAGACTCCTGGTATGACTCTAGGATAAGCACAAAGATTGCTAACTGCAAGTTCTGCAGTTCAAACCTACCTGCCACTCCTTAGAAACCCTATACAAGGTCACTGTGGGTCAGAACTGACTTGACGGCACTTTACAAGAAGAATAAAAGTAAAGAGAGACAAAATACAGATACATTTGAGGTTTTAAAGATAACGTAATACTTTCAGAAATACAAGGGGAGCTTCAAAGCGTTTGTGGAAAATGAAATTAAAAATAATGGACTTTTCCCATAAACTTTTGAAGCCCCTTCATATATACCCATAATTTGGACAAATATATAGGATATTATAACAGTGGAACTGATAGAAAGGGAAGAAAGATTGAAAATCCTATAACTCTTAAAGAAATGGAAGCAGTGATTTTAAATATATCTACAAAAATATTGGTTTGGATGTTTTATGGACAAGTTAGGCAGCCCTGGTAACATAATAGTTAACCAAAAGGTCAGCAGTCCAAATTCACCTGTAGTTCCACAGAAGAGTAAAGGCCCATCAGTCTGTGTAGAGTCGAGTGTAGTTGACTTTGCCATATTGATGGCCTTTTGGGGCAGAGCAGGAGCTCTACCATCTACATAGTAACACTAATCCAGATAAGACCACTTGAGCTCAGAACTGCCCATAATACTTCAAAAATCATGAATCTTTCTAATTTTGAACAAGAACACAAAGACTCAAGGGCCAAATTCTCCCAGTCTTACCCAATTCAGGATATAAAGTCTTGTCACAGGTTTTCAAAGTATCTTAGATGAATGACAGTTTAAAGGTGGTGGTTTTTTTTTTTTTTTAACGTACTTTATTTTTATATCAATTGGTAGTTGTTTGGCCACTAAATAGAAACCATAATAAGCTCCTCATGAAGAGTGAAGTCATTCTCCTTTATGTAAGTTACACTGATGCTTTTCGTCAGAAGTTGACTTTTATCGTAATAGATTTCTGATGGTACCATCTGATTGAACGGCTTCCTAGTTGCTTCCAAAATCAACTTGCACACTAAAATAATGAGGTAGAAGACCGGAAAGCAAGGTCTCTTGTGATTGTGTCACAGTTCAAGGCAAAGGCCTATGTTATCCCTTACTTCCTCAAGGGTCTATCAGTCCAGGAAACAGAGGCGAAGAGGGAAAGAGATGGCCCCTAAGGGTGTTGTTTCCCACTCCCATAGGATTAGCTCCCATAAGTCATGCAAACTGCATAGCACTGAAAGAATATCCCTGACTTGTTTTGGGTGTGTGTGCTGTAAGATTATATTTACTGTAAACTCTATAAAATGTAAACTTAAGAGGGTTGAATTAAATGGCCTCCAAGGTCCCTTCTAGTTGCAAAATTCTGTGACCTATTTATTGATCAGATACTGTTGAGTCAATTCCAACTAATTATTGCTGGAAGTTTATGGCAAACATTGCCTTAACTCTCCTACTATCTCACTATTGCTCCATCTACTTCCTAATCTACACGCAGGCTCATGCATACACAGACACATACACTGCCCTTTCATTTCCACCATTTCCCTGTAGCATTGGGGATTGGTAAGATTTTCAGCAGAGTGGTCATAAAATGCCTAACAATGAGTAGAGTGCTTGCCAATTGCCATAAAGAATATGGCTCCCAGAAAAGCAGTTAATTGAACCCAGCAACAGATCTTGCATTTGCCTCTTTGTCAGGAAAGCTGTCAGATCTCTGGGTTGCACTCCATAACACTCTGCTTCTTCCTCTGTGTTCTGAAGTCTGTTTTGTAGTGAATCTTAGTGTCCTTGTATGTTGTACCACCTCCCTTAGGAAACAGAAGTAAATTAAGACTGGATTGTTTTCATTATTCCAGTATGCTTCTTAACAGGACTGTAGGTAAATCACTTGACCTTTCTGCAGGTAAGGTCCCCATCAAATAAACTTAAAGGTAATCATACTCTTCTAGGGAGCATAAAACATGATGTGCAGTTCTCGGGAACCGGGCGGCTTATCTCAGGACTCGTGGTGAGAAGGGAGAAAAGAATGCCTTATGAGGACTGGTATTTTTCAAAATGAAACTAGTGGTACTTACAAAGCAGAAATGTCTTTTTCTCAAGTGTTTCACTGTTAAAATGTCAAGGTTTTATGGTATGAGATGTTTTTAGAAGCTTAAAATAATACAGATGTTAGCATTTTTAAAAGTTAGAATCTGCTGAGAAAATTATGTGTGATTTATTTATTAGGAACAAAATAAATCTTAATGATTACAATTTAATATTCATCATTGAGAGTTAACTGCCTCCATAGGCCATTACTATTGATTAGTAACTAAATACAGTGATAAATTTTGTCATGCATATTTCCAGAGAAATGTATATACACACACACACGGAGAGACAAATATAGATTCATTAAAGTGTATTCTTGTTCAGCCTTGAAAGGGTATCTTTGTGTGTTCCATGGTCAGTCTTGTTTTATGCTAATAAAAACCAAGTTTTGAAGTAATTTTTAATCACTACAAAAATGCTGGTAGTTGAAAAGATCAGCGTCCATTGGGCTACTTAAAGAACCGTCTTAATCGACTCCATGGCACGTAACCACCACCACCACCACCACCATCACCACAGGAATACAATAGACCGCCTCAGTCCCAGTCATGTGGAAGATGACTAAAGTCAGAGAATAGAGTCCACAAGCCATCATCTTACTTATCAAATAAAATAAATTTTGTTTTGAAAACTAGGTCAGATTTTCTTGCATAGGTCCATCTACCGCATACTTTCCTTCTCTGCC